AATACGTATGGCTCTTGACTGATTCAGGCGGCACTACATCAGAACTACATAGAAAAGTTGAGACTCCACACATTTTGCTTCTGCCTCCCAGACCTGGCCAGTAGCACAAAATATAAGGAAGCATAAGCATTAGCTACCCTGAAGGTTTCAGATGTTCCACTGAACAACAGTGAAAGTGATGATATCATAACAGAGGATGAAAAGGTGCTCTTTTGCTTTGAAGTGGTTTTGGGTCAAACTTCAGTAGTAACGAGAATCAAAAGAAAGTAAGCAAGAAAGTATCATGACATCTATAATACCGTGTAGCAGACCTAGGAATAAAAATCACCTCTCCAGACAAACAAAATTCCTGTAGTCCAGCAAATAATATTAATTTCAAGCTACAGACACTGCTATATCAAGACAAAGGTCTCAGTATAACATAAAGTCAAAGTGGTCAGTGGTCCTTAATGCACATGTGTGCATCGATTTGATTGTAGAGCACTGACTGCATGATCCTGCCTTATGCACCCCACAGATGCAGGTAATGCTTTCATGAATTAAAAAAAAAATAAAAATCTTATGGAAGTAAATTTTCTTACCAAAGAGAAAAGACTCCACTCCAGTCTTTTCTCAATATTTGTATAAGTTCATTGCCTCCTCATCCTGGTTTTAATATCATCATTCAGGTTTTTTTTTTACTCAAAATTGACCAAATCATTCACACTAGACCAGAATTAAACTTTTGCAACACTTGAACATGGCACACAGTAAGTCCTTATTAAAAATGTATATATAAGGGATACATAAAAATTATATATTTATATCATTCTTTAACTTATCACCCCCTTTTAAATATGCTGATAGGCTTGTAGCAAAAAAACCCCAAACAATTCCACATGTGTATTTTCAGAGATCATTTAAAAAAACCATTCCAGAGGGAAATACTCAATGAGCTGAAGTGGCGGGAGCGGCAGCGGCCGCCAGAGGGAGAGAGCTGGCCGCGCCAGAGCCCGCGGAGCGCGGCTGCGCTGCACTGCGCGCAGACAGACGGACACACGGACACACGGACACAGACAGACACACGGACACAGACAGACACACGGACACACGCACAGACACACGGACACACGCACAGACACACACTGCTGACAGTCGGTGGGACTCCACTGCACGGAACTCTTTCTAAAGGAAACGCCTCTACAATCACAGTATTTGGGCTCCTGTGTAATCTAAAGATGCAAATCTCAACTAAAGGAGTTGATACTCAGTGCCGTTAATGATTAGTCTTTTAATCTCTTTTCAAATTATTTCCTTATAGGTATTTAAGGTATTGTTCTTATATTTTCCTAGAGAAAAAAATAACTAGGGCAACATAGAGAGGAGAATAAAAGGATTTGTAGGAGTTCTGCCTGGTCAAGTGAAGAGTGGACACCTACAAAACCTTTTCCACTTCTTTTATGTTTATCTATCCAAAAGATGGGAAGAAGTCAAGAAGAAAAGCTAGGTGGTACCATGACAGAGCTCACCAGCTTTCAGGCTCTGCTGGTAGGAGGCCAGACTCCGTGCCTAGTGAGTCTCAGAAGTCAGCAGATCTCCCTTATCAGCAAGGAGCAGACCTTATTTCGAGCTGGTAACCTTATCAGGCAGCAGGAGAACCTCTGGGAACTGGGGCATTCTGCTGCAGAACACAGCTGGGATCAGCCAAGTCACAGGGACTTGGACTCAGATTGCCACACAGCTGGTGTGCCGTGCTAACCAAAGCCTGGGCCAACCTACTTTTACTCATATTACAGAACATATAACAATATCCCAGCTGGCCTTTGAATATTTCCACAGAGCAAAGAGATCCCACATTGCCACACTGGAAAGAATTAAAAAGACTACACCTTTCTGTTATAGTTCAGAGATTTACCAGTCCCTGAAAGCTCCACTGCAAGGAGGCTATGGCCCCTCACATTTCTGACCTATTCATTATCTCCCTGCTTCTTTAGCTCTTTGTTCCTCACATATCTATTTAGGGAAGCAGCTTTTCCAGATTATTCAATTTATCTTGTATACAGTTTGAACAGTTCAAAATAAGTATTACTTTAGCTAAGTGTCCTGAAGATTTGATGGAGATATTCTCTGTTATGGAAGTGTATGTTGAATCCTGCAGAGTATGAGATATGGCTCAGAGGGTATCCTGCCAAAAAACAGAGCCATTTTGCCTCTCATTCTTCCCACACAACTAAATGGATAAATAGAGGTGTGAAAATTGACACAGGAAAATCCAACAGTGCCATGAAATTATTGCTTTCAAAGTAATTTTGCATCAAACAAACCATGTATCGATTACATATCCAATATAGCATTCTCATTGTATCTCTAAAAAAATTCCCTGATCACAGAAATTCCATTTTAGAATGCATTTGTTGTATTTTTTCCTGAGTACTGTCCAGATGCGATTTCATTTAAAACAGTTTATTAAAGTTTATAATATTTTTTTAAAAAAACAACCTTTAGCATCTGCGCAGCATTTTTATCTGTTTAGAAATTACAATAAATCACAGTCTTTGCCTCACCCGCTAATTTAGCTAGGATATATCCAGAACAAAGGGCCACAATAAATGCCAAAGTGAGGGCTACACCCACTGTAATCATACAGCCCCAGGTCTCGTAGCAGGTTAAAAATTTACTAGATTTTAACTGACATACAAGACAAGTAGGTCCCTTCAATGACAAATGATTTATCAGAGGAAAAGTCTTTAGCAAGTACTCCTTAGCCCACAGGGGCATTTTTAAAATATCTGTTTCCATCTGTTTATCTTAACCCCAAAAAAGACCTCACCTGGATAGATATATGCATGAAGAAAGCACAATAACATAGCATCAAAAGGATTTATAATCTCAGATTTTGCTGCTTCCAGTCCTCTACCTTGTTGTCAATTGCAAAGTGGTGCTGATAAATGTGATATCAAAATGCAGTCTCAAACTTTCTTTTCTGAACATCAACAACAAAAAAGGTAAGGTCACTATTTCTTAAAAATCTATTTTCTTAAGAAATGTGTCTATCAAAATCTGTCTTGACATAGTATTTTCATCCTGCTCTTTGTTCTGCTTTTCTTATTTACTAAAAAAAAACTTTCTAGTTTATACATCTACAGTTATGATGTGGATCTGGAGTATGAGTTCTTGTGCCTTCAGACGTGGGAGGAAAGGACAGAGAACTATTTCTATGAATGTGCTATAACTTCAATGCATTTGTGCCAGCTCACAATGGATGTGTACCTATTTCAAAGGCTGAGCTACACAAATCTTAAAATATATGTGTGCCTGTGTCTGCAGCTATTCTTGAGAGACAAGGGGAAAATGGTGAGAGAGGATAGAAAGAGAAGATGGAGAAGGAAGAAGATGGTGTTATTGAAATGTAGGTGGTTTTAATCTAATTGTTCTAAACCTGTTTCTGTGACATGAAATAGTATTAGAGTGACTTTGAATACAGAAAAATACAGTGGTCACTGTGCTGATTTGGCCATCAGTAAAGCAGCAATGCATAGCAATAATTCCAGTTTACATAGATACCCAGATCCTGTGGTTTGGCCTTAATTTAAACCAGACTTTTTCATTGTCAGAACTAGAATAATTTATTTTAATATGCAAGTCTAATTAGCCAGTTCTAGTTGTTTAAACATTCTGTATGATCAGGAAAGGCATCAAAAATCAGTGTAAGGAGGGCAATCACCAAGTAACAAATATATTTATGCACAACAAATATATAAGCAAACACTACTTCTGCTTTGCTCTGTGCATATTCTTCAGACCTCAGAGCTATATCCAACAGTGGACTGCAGTAAACACCCCCCACACTGAGTTTTCTGCTGTCTCATGTGATGATTCCATTATCAGAAGTCACACTCTCATAGAGATTTTGTCTGACCTAACTTCTCAGTCCCTAACCTCCATAAATTGCAATTCCTGTTCAGCTTTTCTCACTTTCAAAATTGGTTATTTCACCTTTCAAACACTCTAGCACTTTAACCTTCTTTTTAAGTTGCTGAAAAAAGGTAAGTTTAATCTTCTCCATCTTGCCTCTCCAAATGATATCCTCAGATTGAAATAAAAGGACAATCTCGATTTTCTCTGCTGTATTTTGCCCCTCCCCTCCCTAGCCCCCAACCTCTCCATAGATGCCTGCACAGACAGAGCTTTTCTTTTGCATGGAGACATTTCCCCTGACCACTTAGCTTTCTGTCACACGCTGCTTTAATAGTGATAGGCAGAATATTCATTTCAGATTTAAGTCTCAGAGAAGAAATTTAACCATAGTGATTTTTGCCTGCTTGTGGTAAATTATAGCCTTGGACATTCACTGTTTTGGTAGAGATATTTGTCTGTTTTAGGAAAACAGGCAGATGAATTAGGAACTGGTTGAGGAATGACCATGTTTCTCCCATGCTTTCACTATAGCAGTTGTTGTTCATTACTTCATTTAAATCATACACGTAACATAAAATATGTGGCTTTTCCTTTCATGTGTAAAATTACAAATCAAATTAAAGTGTTCCCATGCAGATTACGTAGGAATGTAGGATCTCAGTTCCACTGTCAATCAACTCACCATGCACATCACAATAGAAATATTGATGCTTACACCAGGCACCCAAACACACTGTGTGAAAGGACACAAAGATGAGAAAGGAAAATCAAAGCTCATCAACAAGGTATCAATTCCAGAGTGCTTTGCTGAACTCTGAAATCTACCCTATTTTTATGGTGAAGCTTGCACATGGAATTGGTGGAATGACATTTTCTACAAACTTCTGAAAACTATTGGCATGAAATGAGTTTAATCTCAGGATATCTACCTCAACAAAGAGCTCCTCCACTAAGTTCCTGGGACAGGTGTTAAGCAGATGCAGGGTAATGTAGTGAAGATTTGTATTGACAATGTTTTAAAAAATATCACTTATTATAAAAATTACAGTACACCTACCCTCAGGCACAGAGAATGCTGAGATCAAGTTCTGGCAACTTTAGTCCAATGAATGGCCATTGATTTCCATAGCCTTTTTTTTTTCCTGTGGAAAAGACATAAAATTGTCTCAGTATTTGTGTGCTTCTGTTGGCTAAATTCCTCTCAGAAATCCATGACCTAGACAAACAAAAATGTTTTCCAGATTTTCAGCAGTGCTGCAGTGCTATTCTTTTTCTAGTTTCCATCAGAAAAAAATATTTTCAAAAAAATCCTGGTGGGATTGTGTCAGAAGTGACAGAACATGGCTCTACAGAGCAAAAGGTAGAGGGCAAACCCTGTGATTGCCTGGCACTGTCTGTGTCACCTTCAGCCTGGGACTTGTACAAATCAGTCACAACCAGCTCTGCAACTGATAGCAAGGTTTATGTGCACACAGAGCAGCAGGAGCCTCTACGAGTTCACTAATTTAAGCACTTAGAAGTGGGAAAGAAAAAGCTTAAGAGTCTTGCCATGAAATTCTGAAGGTAAAAGGGATCAGGGGAGGGGAGGAAGGCTGGGTGTTGAGGGAAAGCCTGGACTGACTCAGAGTGACAGCAGTAACAGCCTGTTCCACTGTGGGCTGCCAGTACACATAATTTCGAGCAGTGCTACAGAGCTGGACTCAGCAGGGCTCAGTTGAGCCCATAGCTCAACACCTTTCCAGCTGCTTCCAGGTGGTATACTTTTGTAGCAAACAGAGTAACTTCACAAAAGCATTTGAATCAGAGTAAACTGGTACTCACTGAACATGATCACAGCTTAAGAGAGATGCTTCTATTTGTTTAAAGACACTTCAAGTTTTGAAATTCCATTGGGATTTCATAATCTGCAATGGAAATACAGTGTCAGATTCTCCAGTATTATGTATTTCCATACATGCCAAAGGACAATGTGACTCCTAGCAAACACTACAAAGGAGTGGCTAAAGGGGTTTTCCTACTTAGAGTTCTCTACATGTAGCACCAAGCCTTCACATATTATAATTTTAGAAAGTATTCCTCTGCTTATGCTAAAGCCAACACACTTCTCCTATTCCTTTTAATTCCTGCACACCTTGAAGTACCTTTGTCCATACTGATTACTAAGGAGGTTCCAAGAGCCAGGTTTCTTGGAGGCTGATGGGAGGCAGAAGGGAAGCTGCCAGTGAGCAGCACTTACCTATTAGCCATTAGCTAGGGAGACTCCCACTCCAGCTGTTGCCTGAGAGAGATTTCAATGGAAAGATTACCCACATTTGATAAGAAATATTCCCAGCTTGGGAAGGACTCATGCTTAGTAGATGGTAATTATATTAGTCTAATGTTTAAAGTGTGTCAAACAGTGCCAACAGGTTAAAGTATTTCATTATGGATTCATTGAGGTATAAATTAACTCAGCGGTGCTAGGCTGATAGCTTAATTCTCAAATTCATATGTAATTTTCCACTTTGGATGAGCCAGGCACTGATTGAAATAGCCAAAACAGACCTGTGAACAAAAAAAATTAGGGAAGAAGAGGTGATTTTTTTCTAGGTTTACTTTATAACATTGTATTTACTTTCAGTCTACAATATAGCCCCTGAAATGAGCATATCAAAATAATTTTCAGGCAATTAACACATATAAGAAAGACTTTGGAGAGATCATTGACACAGCAAACACTTGATAGGCCTGCCAAGTAATACAAACAAATAGAAGCTAATGGAAGTTCTTTCTCAAAATGTCTGCTGGGGTCCAGACACCAAGTGATGGGTGATTTGTCACACTATTCCTACAAAGCAACCCATTCTAGCAATCACATAGTCTATATAAATATGCAAATCAACTTATATGAACCAGGACTTTTTGCTGGTATTTTTACTTGTACTTTTCTGGCAAATGCCACATAAAAGCAACAGAAATTCATGTCTTCCTCTGTAATATTTTTACATAAATGTATTCAGTGAATAATCCACTCCCATTTCCTAATCTGATTTTAAGGCAGGTAGACCACAATATCTTAATACTTAATGATGAAATCTGGTCTGTCTAAAGCTTGTTACAGAAAGTTGGATTATATTTTACATGTCCATTTACTTATAGTTTCACTTGTGCAATTCTATTTTTAAATGTGCAAAAGTGCCTTGACTATATAGTTATTCCATACAGTCAGTGAATCTGAGAAATAACTCAAGATAGCAGTATTTTCTACCCTGAACAAAATTCTGTGCAACTCTGGCTGCAAATTGCAGAAAAGGAATAAACACTAGTTGTGCTTTTTTGGGAGGCCTGAAAATGTTGCTTTGAGAACAAAAAAGGCCAGATTTGTAGGATCCTGAATCCCTGTCAGAAAAATTACACAAGACTTCTCTTAAGTAGGTTACAGACATCTCTGTCACTGTGGTTGCACCCATAATACCTGACCCACTCCCAGTCATAGCCCAGGATGAACCAACTAAAAGTACATCACGACAAAGGCTCAGAGATCCTTGCACTTTACCAGCTGTACATGGAGGTGGACAAGTGGCCCTTGAGCCCAGTTCTAAAGTTTCTGCTGATGACTACAATGGAATTTGGGTGTGAATCCATTCACTTCAATTCCTCTATCTAGAGTGTGATAAGACCAAGCCAATAATCCAGGCTACAGTTGTGCTTATACTTCAATGCCTTCTTTTTCTGTTGGCCACATTTCCTTTTTTAAAAGGCCATCCTGTGGGAATAAAGAGCACAAAAGCAAAATAAAATAAAAACCTTTTGCATTTCATAATGAGATGTTTAGAGCACTCATCTTCCTTCACATTACTAAACATTTTTCCAGCTCACAGATATTTCAAAGATGTATTTGAGGTCTGGGCACAAACAGCGCTTTGTTTCTATAATCATGGTAAGATCTTTGTATGTAAATATTATAGATTTTTTCCATTTTCAAATAGATGACATTACATCTTGCTTCACTCAGAAGAAAGTTTCCATTAGTCTGGAAACAGCCAATGTTGGCAGTACTAGCTGAGCAAACAGTAAACTGAAAAATACAGCAGATGTTACATGAGAGAGAATAAAGTAGGAAAATTAACAAACATTTGTCTCCAAGCCTGGGCTTGTCCATCAGTTAGTTTCACTGTGATGGTCTCCCAGAAGCAAGTACTTAAAGGCAAGTATTTGTCTGCTATATAAACTGGAATGTCAAGTATTCCCAACTTGCTCTAGGTTGCAAGAGATGTGAGTCAGTGCTGTTGAAATCATTATAGCGTGATGCTAAAGTTGGGATACTGGAGAAAACTACCATGGGGATTATCAGGTACAGAAAAAACAATTCCCCAGAAAAAGCCATCACAAGGCAGCTAGTGGAAAAACTCTGAATGTGGGTATTGTTCTTCCCAGTGGGATCACACAAATATTTATGCAAACAACTTCCACTATTTTTGTATCAGCTAAAGGTACGGATAAAATAAGTCCCTACATTAAGAGTTAGGGGAAAGGAGAACAAATATTTTTCCCTGCTAGTAACCTTGACTGCAACCTAGGTGAAAGATTATAAAGATATCAAGCCTACCATGACTTTTTACAAGCAGCAGAGAGGATGAGGTAAGGACATAGGAATCAATAGTAAAAGGAACCCTATGAAGTCTTTTGGGCATCAAGAGACCTTTAAATACAATGGCAGAAACAAAACATTGTCACAGAAATGCCTTTTGCCCTAGCTGACCCATCTCCTCATTTTCCCAGAGCATCCTGCTAGGCCTAGGCACGATTCTTGTTTCATGAGATTTTTTTCATGTTTCATTGAAAACTGAAAAAGACAAACCGCGTCTTTGCAAATGCAGCTTTTGAAGAGGCAGCAGCATGACTCATCATGAAAAATGAAAAGCCATGCTAAACACTGCACCATTAGAGAAAGGCTCTGAAAAGGGGATTCTCCTGTGAGATTCAGCAGTCTTTATACTAAGAAGCTTGGGACTTAGTACAGTTATAACTCCTCTGACTTCAAAGGTACCCAAGGAATTAATTTGGCCCTGTTTGTTTTGGTAATGGCTGACTAGCCAAAAACAAAACCCAAAAGGCTCAGGAAATGCCAGGGTAATCTTATTCCCTTTCTCCCTCATACAACAAGTATAGAGCTCCCAACTGACTACATAATACCCAGGATGATGTGTGTCTTGGCTGTCATTTGTCAATGCTGCTGCTGCTAGAAATCAAAGATTTATGTTCTCAAAAGAGCTTTTTGGCAGAAACTCCCAATTGCACTGCAGAGTAATTCAATATACTGAAGCACATCAATGCAGTTTGCTTTGTGTATTTGCCCCCTGCCCAAATAGTCCCCTATAGACTTAATATTTAGCTGTCATTTGCCATATTCTCTGTCTCCAGGCAACAAGCATGAACTTGAATCTGTCCAAACAGATTTTGTAATTATATGTTTTGAACAACAAATGCTTAATTTCTAGGTGCTCTTTACCTCCTCAGCTCCTGCATCGAAGATATTACCAAGCCCTAGGATTGCTCAATGGAGTCCAAAGAGTCAGCAAATTCCTTACAGCAAGATGAGACTTTTTTCTAATTAATCTTCATAAGGCATTGTTTTGCACAGTGAAACATAACTAAACTCTATTAACATGTTACTCTATTTAAGAATTAGAATTCAGAGATGCTTAAACTAGTAATGGATCACTGCTGTTTTGGTATTTGCATTGTGATCCATGCAAAAATGAGCATAACGATGGAAGAGTCCATTCCCTATGTGGTATTTTTGCTTGAAGTTCATGAATTTTTTTTTTTTTAATAAACACTTTCTTTTGAAGCTGTTAACAAAATACACAGAAATTGCCTTGTTGAAATAAGAATTCCAGAAAGAAAATATTAATTCCCATATACCAAGAACTTTTCAAGGGCTTCCAAGCCTAAATCCAGGTTATTACTCCCAGCATAACTCTAGAACATTTCTCTGTAACAAAAGACAATGACAATGTTCCTTACAAAGTCAATGCTAGGGGAATAAAGATTCTATTTGTATGTGTTTTTACAAAGATGCTCACAAGAAACATTGTTTTAGAAAACTACCCCCAGGAGTCAATGAATGAGCCAAAAACTACCTTAAGCATGCCACTGAAAATTACTTCTATCTTTCCAGGCAATTTTGAGCACTGCAAGAGTAATGTTCCTTTGGCTAATTACCTCAGTGCAGATGAGGTGCTAAACCCTTTGGCTGGCCCCTCTAACAGCCCAAGATTGCAATGTCCCAACGGATACTATAAAGAAATTACATTGCACAGCCAGAACCTTCTGTAATAAATTTGATCTCTACAAATAATTAAACTACTCCCACCCGCCCCAAGTCCCAGGAGGAAACTTTATGTTGTACCTCAGAGGACTAAAGCTCTTTAGAACCTCATGCTGCTTGACAGTCCCCAAAGCTGCTCACAGACAGACCCGATTCTGTGCATTGCTGACAGAAAATTGAAGGTTTCACATGAGTTCAAGGGGACTTGACTAGATGGAAACTGGTGATCAGACACAGAGGATCAGGCTCTATAAATTGTGGTTTCATAAGTTTCAGGTTCCATATATTTAAGTCCTAGACACATTGAGTTGTTAACAACAATTTCCCCATGCTGCAGGCTGAAAGGATCACAATCAGTCCCTATGAAGTGTGTGCTAGTACCCAGACAGGTCACAGAGTAATTGTGTAAAGCACCTGCAGACACTACCTTGGCAATATTAGTTCAATCCAGTGTAGAAAGCAAAGGGGGCTGCTGGTACCCTCAGAAAGAACCATTATCACATCAGGACATCAAAAGAGGAAGAACTCTCTCTTACATTAGATGCCATCTCAAGCAGTGTCTTTCTGCTCTCCATGAGTTTCATGTGGTCT